TTTGCGGTCTAAATGTCTCTCTCTGGTCGCTCTCTGGTCGTTCTCTGGTCTCTCTCTGGTCTCTCTCTGGTCTCTCTCACTCTCACAGCCTTAAAACACTCAGCTGCTACTAAGAGGATTTACCTTAATGTGGGTTATATTTAGAACACATCACCCCTGCGATAGATAGAGTGCAAAACTTTCTCTAACATAAACACATTTTAGTTCTTATGACTGTTGCATGTAGTTGTGGTTCCAAACTGCAGCATGTTTAAGTATTGTGTGTGAACAGGGGACTGGGTCGATGCGTTCTGAGCTGAGCCGTTCTGGTCCACTGGGCGCTGCTTTCTAGTGCTGCTGCGGTCTGGTGTCCGTGCTCCTAATTCTCTGTAATGAGGAGGCTGTGTTCAGGAGTGCAGGAGGCGAAAAGGGCAAAACATCACTGTCTATTGTCTTTTACTCTTGACCCATATTGTGCTCAGAATGAAAACTTTATCTATCTATCTAATTGGTCCCTTTCTGTCACAATCATAACATAAATACTATTATAGACATGATGTGCATGCAGTTTAACATGCAGCTAAAACAGTCTCCCAGTATCTTAGTATAAAGGCAAGGTCCACCAGGAAAGTCATGCTGTCCACCTGTATTTATATAGAAAATGCTCAACAAAGCCTTTTGAGCATGGACGGTAATCATGAATTGCTAATAATGGCCGAACTTAACCCGTTCAAAGGTTTGGACTTTCACCATTACAAAGGCCATGAACTGTGGCAATTTTGGCTAATCAGAGCAGCTAAACAGACATGGTTTGAGAAACATCACCTCGATAGCATTGACAGCAAGGGGAGATCAACTTTGGGCAGAGAGCCGTGTTTAAAACAGGCTCTAAAGCGGGTTTTGACTCTTGGAAAGTCGCCGCAGGGTTCCACTCTGCAGTCAGAACTACAGTCCTGGAGCCGGACTACAGAGATGGCTACCCACTTCTTTCAGAGCAGATATGCAGCTAAAACAGTACATTCCCAGTATCTTAGCAAATAGGGAAACACACTACACAAAAATAATCTTGGACTCTTTGCTCAGGATGATTTCAAACTTCACTTCCCCACTGTACTCTTCCACTTGTATCCTTCCCCCTTTTATCTTTATCCCAGTTTGGGCTAAGGATGGGCTACTGACAATGCTATAATTCACATTTTATTGGAACAAAACGCTGCTGTGTTCAAACCTGTTTTCAACTGGGAACAAAAGCTCTTCCTCTCAAATCTGCCGACGCGTCCGCCACATACCGGGAGGAGGCCGCCAGCTGGCACTGCGCTGAACGCTGAGGTGATTGCGTTTGCGTTTGCTGGAGTCTCGCTGTGATTTACAGCAGAGATCTCGAATACAGACTCACTCCTGCTCCTCACTCATACACTGCTCCACCACGGCTGCAAATAAGAAGATGGAAGACTGAGGATAATCAGTTCTCAGCAGGGCTGTAAAAACTACCGCCAGGCATTTTGCATTTTAGGGGAAAAGTGAGAAGAGAGAGGAGATAGCAGAAAGGAGAGAGGAGAGAAAAAATAGGAGAGAGAGTAGAAATGAGAAATCTGGCTGTTTTTAAGTCAATGTGAATCTAATTTCCCACACGTAAAATGAGACACAACGAGAGTCAAAAAAAGTGAGTCAAAAAAGTGAAATTTCCAACACCTCTCAAGGAGTTAGGTTCCAGAGCTCAAGCTGTGTGGAAGTGAGGCCGACTATCTCTAGTCGGTATCTCTCAACCTCCCCCTCGAGCTCAGGCTCCCTCCCCCCCAGTGAGGTGACGTCCAAAGAGCTCGATGTTGTGTGTACGTACTGGATCGCCGAGGTCTCTGCCTTCGACTGCCGCCCAGTCCTCTCTGCACCTTTCCACCCATGGCTGCCTCAGTGGTTGGTAGTGCCACAGGAGGGCCTGCCCACATCATTTCTTCAGGCTGAGCCTGGCCGGGCTCTGTGGGCTAAGGCCCGGCCACCAGATGCTCGCTTACGAGCCCCACTCACAGGCCTGTCTCCATCGCACGTTCCATGGTGGGTGCAAAGTTAAACTAATTTTTCGAAACATTAAAGCTGGAGAACCAATCTCTCAAACCACAAACAAATTGAAGTATGCATCAAATGTTTTGATTCAAAAACTCCTTCCTGTAGGAAAGGAAAAATCTCTGACTAAAGGTAATAAAACAGCGGACGTTCTTATTTCTCATACATTACCAGAGACAGATGGACAATGCTAACCTGCTAGCTCAATGGAGCCCAATAAGGAAGTGCTCATGGTGAAGTTTTGGCTCCATCTCTCTCTGGCTCCAATTGACTTACGCGTAAAAGTAAGTCACTGTGAGAGAGTGCAGTATCTGTCCTCGCTGCTCCTTGCTTTCCTTTTGAAAATTCTTGTGTATGAACTGTACTTTACAAATAAACCTTCCTAGTAGATAGACAGAGCGAGAGAGAGAGAGAGAGAGAGAGAGAGAGAGAGAGAGTGTCTGAGAAAGAGAGAGAGACTTAGATGGAGAGTGTGTGATATGGAAAGAGAGAGTGTCTGATATACAGAGAGTTAGATTGTGTGAGAGATAGATAAAGATAAAGATAAATAGACTAAAATAGAGATGGAAAGAGAGAGAGAGTTATACGATATACAGAGAGTTAGATGGAGTGTGCGAGAAAGAGTGAGAGATAGAGAGTGAGAGAGAGAGAGATACTCCCCCGTTGGAGAAGCTCAGGTGTCCAGTAGCAGAAACACACACATTCACACATGTTCTCACTCAAAAAGACCACAAGCTGATGTTGGACTGACGACAGAGTAGTGGGGGAGTAAGCCTTGTCTCCCCTCCCTCCCCCTCTCTCCCTCCTCTTTATGAACTCAGATGGTGAATCGAACACTGCTTCATAATTACAGTGTTGCATATTGTGCTTCGGCTGCGTCTCTCTCACGCCACATTTTCGCAGAGATGGATTCAGGTTGTTTTTTTCGTAACGTTCGGTTTGTCGTTAATTGCGCCTCGGTCTTGATGTTTGTGCGTTCGTCTGGCGGCGGCAGACAGAGATTTGAAACGAGATGAACAGTGACCCGCGACGGCTGTATGGAAGATAAAAAGCATGAGAAGCTTTTCATTGGGGTTCAACATCAAAGTGAACCCTCTGTATTTACCTGCAGACAGATAGACAGAAGAGATTTACAGAGTTATGATGTTTTAGAGGAAAGTTTTAGGAGGTATATTCCATTTGAAGCTACAGTGGAAAACTTGTGTCATATGTGTGAGATTGTGGCAAGTTTATTAGTTCATATTCAACTCAAAGTGCTGAACAAAACAAAAGCAAAAAATCCAAAGGTATATATGCCCGCGTGCATCGGCGCTGATGCATGCGCACATGTTTTACAAATGATCAATTTACTCGCGAACGGTAAAACGTAGCAACTTACTTTGCGTACTTCCCTCTGTGAAGTACGTATTCAGGGCTTTCCGAAACTAGTTTTGATTTGTTTGTGCGATGCACGGAGGATAAACTACGTTTGTCTGAAAGTCCGTGTCCAAAGCGTGACCCGTGAGGTACAAACAGCTGTGAGATACAAACACACGGGGACTGCCAAAGATCGTCAGGGAGTGAGATGTCTCACTCCTCTGCGTTTACTTGTTCTCCCACAGTTGAAACTACAGCTGCGATTGCAATAACCGGCTGAAGAGTGCGCATTATTGATAAAGACGATAATAAATACAGTAAAATGACATTATGTGTATATGATGTATATAAATATATGTATTATATAAATAATAGATGTTTTTTTTTTTTTGGGCTCAGTTTCTTATGTTTTACGTTTTTTACAGCTGTACTACAGAAGCAACCCCAGCATTATAGACAAACTGCTTCAAGAAGGGCATCAGGAGTACAGAGTTTTTTGCTTTTATAGTGGAGTTTTCCCCATTATCCCCAAGACCATAAATAACATTTCTATGCAGTGTAAAAAGTTTTTTATAGCATTTCATTGTGTTTTTTCAATACATTTTTGTTAAATTGATTTTCCGTTTGATTTTTTTCTTTGTCTTCATGATTCGATAATTTTTATATAATTCATATGACAGCTTTACAATATGAATATTCTAAAACCCAAGGTTGTACTGAAAAAAAAAGTATACTGCTTGACTCTGCATCAAAAGATGACTGTTTTATGAACCATTATACACAAAGAAAACCAGGCAAGGAAAGTTCCCCAAAATGACCCATGTGCATAGAGGGTTAAAATCATGAATAATTAATAATTCATGAAGAACATTTAGAAGGGTAAAGAGGAAATCCTTCAGTTGCTGCAGAAACAGAACTGTTTTTAATCTGGATTTGAACATTGTCAGAGAAGAAGCCTGTCTCAAATTTTCAGGGAGACTGCATTAATCTGAAACGTTGCCTCCTCAGTCCCTGTCCTCCTTTGAGTCTGAGTTGGTTCATGTGGCACTAACATGAAGCCATTCGTTATATAAAATCTGATGAGTTCATGTAGATTAGGCTTCTACTTGCCTCAGTCCTGGATCTGCAGCCTCAATCCTAGATCTACAGCCTCAGTCCTAGATCTACAGCCTCAGTCCTAGATCTACAGCCTCAGTTCTAGATCTACAGCCTCAGTCCCTGGATCTACAGCCTCAGTCCTAGATCTACAGCCTCAGTTCTAGATCTACAGCCTCAGTCCCTGGATCTACAGCCTTAGTCCTAGATCTACAGCCTTAGTCCTGGATCTGCAGCCTCAGTCCTGGATCTACAGCCTCAGACCTGGATCTACAGCCTTTGTCCTGGATCCACAGCCTCAGTCTTGGGTTTCTGAGTGGTTACCCTCTGATACAGGAACAGTATCTCAGTCCATCAGATCAAACTCTTTTAGTAGTGTTAAATCTAAGTTGAGTAGTTTCTGGACAGATGTTTGCGGTGACTGTTCTTTGTCTCTGGACAGATGTTAGCAGTGACTGTTCTTTGTCTCTGGACAGATGTTAGTGGTGACTGTCTTTTGTCTTCTGCAGCTGTGACCTCCTTGCCTTGGGTTCTGCTGGCCTCTGTGGGGAGCCTCCTGGATGATCAGCACTGGCACTACGTGAAACTGGAGCGAGTGAAGAACCACCTGAACCTGACTGTGGACTACACCACCCACCTGGTCCACCTGCCCAACCAGCTGAGCCACTGGGACGTGCACCAGGTAACGATGGATGGTCCGATAGAGAGGGAAGGAACCAGGGTAAAAGAGAGGTTTCTTATTGATTTCAGACCTACATACAGTTTATGTGGTGTCATTCAATACATTAAAGGTGAGGTCTGCAGCTTAAAGTGTACAGCGGCCCCTTGTTATAGAGAGAGACCATAGAAGGATCAAAGAGAGAGAGTGTAGAGAGAGTGTAGAGAGAGAAGAGAGCAGAGAAAGACCAGAGAGAGAGGAGAGAGAGAAGAGAGCAGAGAAGGACCAGAGAGAGAGGAGAGAGAGAGCAGAGAAGGACCAGAGAGAGAGGAGAGACAGACCAGGGAGATACATTAGATATACCATAGAGAGAGACCAGAGAGAGGGACTAAAGACAGAGACCAAAGAGAGACTACTGAGAGACCAGAGAGGGTCCAGAGAGATGAGAGAGAGAGTAGAGAGAGAGACCAGAGAATGACCAGAGAAACCAGGGAGAGTCCAGAGAGAGACCATAGAAAGGCCAAAGAGAGAGACCAAGGAGAGACCAAACAGAGAGACCAGAGAGAGACCAAATGTGACTGAAGCCAATTTATACATGCGTGTGAAATTTAGTGATGGGACCAAACTGTTTTGAGATCGAGGAACTAGTTTAATGGATTTTTAAGCATTGTTAGTTTTTGTGTGGCTTGAAAGTTAGATACCTGAGCTTTAAATGACTGTCTGACCATGTGGCTGTGATCGCAGGTTAGCGTGGGGTCCACTCTGGCTTTCGGACTTCAGGGACCGGTTCTGTCCAGCAAGAATCTGAGCGGCTGTCTGGAGAACCTCCTCTACAACAGCCTCAACCTCATCGAGCTGGCCAAGAAGACTAACCCCCAGGTCTCCGTGATCGTGAGTACACCACACAGTTTGGGGAGTTTGGTTCTCCAGTCCTAGACCAAGTCCAGGTCCAAGTCCAAGTCCTTAGGTGTTAGGTTTAAGAACTGGTGGACCCAAAAATGCAGAAAAAAACAAAATGTATTATTAAATCAAGTCACTGGAGAAAGCTGGGTTCAGGGAAACAAGATGGAATCAGGACCAGGACAGGATCAGGACAGAACCAGGACAGGACTAGGACAGGACCAGGATAGGACTAGGACAGGGCCAGGACAGGACCAGGATGGAACAAAGACAGAGGAAAGTACCAGGATGGGACCAGGTCAGAGGAAAGGACAAGGACAGGACCAGGACGGGACAAGGACAGAGGAAAGAAACAAGACCAGAGATTTAGGGACACATGTTGATTGTGTGTGGTTAGCTCTCATCAGAGGTCCTGGGTTCTAGGTTCTTTTCTCTGTGGATCTACATTTTGTCGCAGATAATAAGAGCAGATCCCTCTCCCAGTATGGGTTTCCGCAAGGTTTCTCACACAAATTCAGAGCAAAAAAAAAAAGTATATTACAAAATCATATCCCTGGAGAAGGCCAGGTTCAGGGAAGCAGGATGGGACCAGGACAGGACCAGGATCAGAACCAGGAAGGGACCAGAACAAAGGAAAGGAACAGAAAGGACACAGGACAGGACTAAGATCAGGACAGGACAGGACCAGGAAGGGACTAGGACAGGTAAAGTGCCAGGACAGGACCAGTGGTTTAGGGGCACTTGTTGATTGGGTCTATCCTGGTCCTGGCTCCTGGGTTCTGGGTTCTTGGGTTCTTTTCTCTGTGAATCTACATTCTGTCGTGGATAATAATAGCGTGTCCCTTTCCCAATATTTTTCCCACTGGGTTTTGAGTGGTTCCTCTCTGATGCAGTAGGGTCTGAGGACAGTGATGATCCTGGACATTTATTAACAATTATGGACAGTGGTCATCCCTCTCTCTATGGACCAGTGACTCGTTTTTTTTGCTTTTACTGTGTTTGGACAGATTCCCTGATTTAGGGCGATACATACTGTAAATACATTTCTGCAGTGGCTACTTTAAGAAATAAGTGAAATAATTGGTTTGGCTGCGAGATGACACTCAGCCGGCTTTGACCTCCCACAGATTAAATCCTGTTTTGACATTCACAGAATAGACTGTATACTGGAGGATAATGCTGGTGGTGGTGTGAACGCGAGCATGTGAGCTTAAGGAGAAGGGAGATTCCAGGCAATTTCACGCTTTGGATCAATATGGAGGAGTAGCCACAACAAAGAGCGTCTAAAAATACAGATTCACTATAGTATCGCTGTCTCCCACCAGCTCTGCTTACAGGAGCCTCATCCAGAGCTGACCTGGAGGGAAAACAACAGTGAGTTATGTTTGGAATGTCTTGAATGTGATCTATGAGGTCATTGATTCTTTGCAGATGCTGTAGTATTATTGTGTCACTCGATATCAACACCATATTCGCACATTTACTCTCACAACTCACCCACACAGACACACACAGGTCCAGGTCAGTAACCACATACTGTAACAAAATATCAACATCTTAACAAAATTAATAGCATAACTCAGTAAGATAATCCTTTCTTTGGTGCCGTGGATTCTGAATGGCCAGGGGCAGACATCTTGGAGAGACCAGGTGTACACATCTTGGAGACCGGGGCAGATATCTTGGAGAGACCTGGGGCAGACATCTTGGAGAGAGACTTGGGGAAGACATCTTGAAGAGACCGGGGCAGACAGTTTGGAGAGACTGGAGCAGACATCTTGGAGAGACCAGGGCAGGCATCTTGGAGAGACCTGGGGCAGACATCTTGGAGAGACCAGGGCAGACATCTTGGTGAGACTGGAGCAGACATCTTGGAGAGACCAGGGCAGACATCTTGGAGAGACCTGGGGCAGACATCTTGGAGAGACCTGGGGAAGACATCTTGGAGAGACCGGGGCAGACATTATGGAGAGACCAGGGGCAGACATCTTGAAGAGACCGGGGCAGACATCTTGGAGAGACTGGAGCAGACATCTTGGAGAGACCAGGGCAGACATCTTGTAGAGACCTGGGGCAGATATCTTGGAGACCGAGGGCAGATATCTTGGAGACCGAGGGCAGACATCTTGGAACTAGGGGCAGACATCTTGGAAAGACCATGGCAGACATCTTGGAGAAACGGGGGGCTTGGTCTTAAGTACAAAGTTTTATCTCTGCTGTTTTTCCGCTTTCACAAACAGAATTCTTATTAAGTTTTGGCTCCAGTTTTCATGGGATGCTGATCCACACTTCCCTGGGAACATCCAGGTGAGACGCTGTGTGCTTCAACTCGTTTGTATTCATTTGCTCTCATCTCAAGAAGTTAGGGCTTTGATCAATAAAAACATCAAGAGTTTGTTTGTTTACAACTTTTAATAGAGCTCCCTGTGGGACTTTGCTTGTTAACCTTCTCAAAGGCTAAATGTTCGACTATTTGTTTTGGAAAGCTGCCTCCTTGTGACTTGAGCAACCTTACAAGCTAGCTAGCAATGATCTCAACAAGAGAGAGACAACTATTTGTAACAATTTTAAGTCAAAAAGCTCAAACACTCTCTCCCATTCATCCACGCTGCCCCCAAACTCTGGAACACTAACTATTCACCTCTCTCTAGTCTCTCTCTCTCTGGTCTTTCTCTGGTCTCTCTCTCTTGTGTCTCTCTCTCTCTGGTCTATCTCTTTCTGGTCTCTCTCTAGTCTATCTCTGGTCTCTCTCTGGTATCTCAATGGTCTCTCAATGGTCTCTCTCTAGTCTCTCTCTCTAGTCTCTCTGTGTGTGAAGACTCAAATCCTACCCTTTTAAAATGGCTTCTTCAATGTAATATTTTAAATGTATTTTATTTTGTATTTGTAATATTTTGTGTGATACTTTTTAAAAAATTGTTTAATGTAAGACATCCTTAAATGTCTTTAAAAGCAGCATTAAAAAGTGTTTTCTTTACTTTTAACCCATAAAAACATTCTATCCCGTTCCAAACTTTGTTCTAAACTCCACACAGAAAAGACCTGGAAGTGGAATGAATCCCGGAACCTTCTTGCTGTGATGCACAATTGCTAATCACTCAGCTAAATCTATCAAATATAAAAATTCAATATCAATCCCTATTTCTGATATAATGTTTCACTATTTTAATTCAGAAAAGTAAACAAAAGAAAGAACTGAACTAAACTCCAACCAGCCATTAACCCAGTGCGATAACATTAGCTTAAAAGTCAAATTATGAAAATCGAAAGTGAACGCTCAAAGTGATGGAGGCCGATACAAACCTGCTCCGTCTGTGTTCGTTAATGTGAGCTTTATGCAAATGGTTGTAATGGACGTGAAGCCGAATCGCCGTCGTTTGGTTTTAATGTTGTTATCATCAGTGTCACGACCGTCAGCATAACCTACGCCACCGCCAGCAACGACATCATCCATTTTACATTTAACTCAGGAGCCGGAAGCGTCAACAGAGAGAGAGAGAGGGGAGGCGAGAGAGAGGGGAGGGGACAAAGGGGGGAGAGGGGGATGGGGGTAGAGGGGAGAGAGAGGGACAGAGAGAAGGAGGGGACAGAGAGAGAGGAGGGGACAGAGGGGGGGAGAGAGAGGGGACAGAGGGGAGAGAGAGGGGACAGAGAGAAGGAGGGGACGGAGGTGAGAGAGAGGGGACAGAGGGGAGAGAGAGGGGGACAGAGAGAAGGAGGGGACGGAGGTGAGAGAGAGGGGACAGAGGGGAGAGAGAGGGGACAGAGAGAAGGAGGGGACGGAGGTGAGAGAGAGGGGACAGAGAGAGAGGGAAGAGAGAGGGAGGGACGGAGGGAGAGAGAGGGGACAGAGAGAAGGAGGGGACGGAGGGAGAGAGAGGGGGACAGAGAGAAGGAGGGGAGGGAGAGAGAGGGACAGAGAGAAGGAGGGGACGGAGGGGAGAGAGAGGGGACAGAGAGAAGGAGGGGACGGAGGGGAGAGAGAGGGGACAGAGAGAAGGAGGGGACGGAGGTGAGAGAGAGGGGACAGAGAGAAGGAGGGGGGAGAGAGGGAGGGGGGACAGAGATAAGGAGGGGACAGAGGGAGAGAGAAGGAGGATACAGATGGTAGAGAGAGAGGAGGGGGGAGAGAGGGGACAGAGGGAAAGAGGTGAGAGATGGAGGGGAAAAAAGGGAGAGGGAGCAGAGAGGGGGGGGGGGAGAGAGGAGATGGGGACACAGGACAGATGTCTTTGTTATTCAGGAATTCTGGTTTTGTATGTAGGGGCTGTAGATAGAATGTAGAATGTTTTTCTCAAAATAATTTGCTCATAATTTGATGAAAGTCTAACAAAGATGGCGCCTCGTACGGTCGACACGGCTCTTTGCTGCTCTCTTTTTCTTTTGTTTTTACTTTTTAACTGCGCATCTGGCTGTTCCTACACCCGTGAGGAACTTATGAACATCCGACCCACCGTTCCCATGGACCTATTGCCTGTTTTCTTGGCATCTGCGGCTGATTTAGTCCATGTTCTAGCCAAAAAAGTGTGGGCCCGTAAAAGGGGAAAGCGCGGAGGCCTGCTCGTGCGTCTTAGGAGGAGAGGAGCGCACGGCTCTCCCCGGCATTTTTCTCTCCAACGTACGCTCACTGGGCAATAAGATGGACGAACTCAGCCTGCTCATGAGAAGAAACAAGGACTTCGCCACATCCTGTGTCCTCTGCTTCACTGAGACCTGGCTAAATGAGCGGATCCCGGACTGCGCTCTGGAGCTGCGGATCGCCATTGTGCGCTCTCAGGGAAGAGCAGAGGCGGTGGGCTGTGTTTCTACGTCAATACAAACTGGTGTAACGACGTGACAGTGATCTCCAAGCACTGTTCTCCTGCTCTGGAATATCTTTTCATTCATTGTAAACCATTTTACTCCCCTCGTGAAATTGTTTCATTCATTCTTGCCTCTGTTTACATACCGCCATGCACGGACGCGCGCGAGGCTCAGCGCGCACTCGCAGA